TAAAGGAAAGAACACAAAGTTGTGTGAATGACTTGATATGATTATGAGCAAAAGATTGTGCCGGAAACATCATCAGTTAATATCACTGTATAGCACTGTGCGATTTATCAAAATAAAGTCTTATATATTATGGAAACAGCTGTACGACAACGGCACATGTCAAGTGATCCACAACGGAAAACTCAGCGGGGTGTTTGAAGTAAACACAGGAGTCAGACAAGGGTGTTTATTATCGCCAATGATATTCCTAATTGTGGTGGACTGGATTATGCGTCAGACAGTGGGAAACCAGAAGACAGGGATATCCTGGACCGACGTGAAGAACCTAGGAGACCTGGATTTCGCATATGATTTATGTTTGATGTCACACAAAATCGAAGACTTACAAGCGAAAACCGACAAACTGGTCAAAGAAGCAGCTAGTGAAGACAGGACTCCAGGTGAACATAGACAAGACGGAGGTTATGAAAATAACCAACCAACCAACAACGACAACAGAAGCAACATCCACCGCCAATCACCATCAACGGGAGGGATTTGAAAGAGGTTACTTCATTCACTTATTTAGGGAGCATTGTCTCAACCACAGGAGGAACGGACGAGGATGTCAAATCGAGAATCGATCGGGAAGGCGAGAAACACATTCATCAACCTGAAACCAATCTGGAAATCTTCGTCACTCAGCATCAACAACAAAATTCGGATTTTCAATACAAACGTCAAGTCAGTTTTGCTATACGGATCAGAAACTTGGAGGGTCACAAAGAATATTTCCAACAGCCTGTTGCAGACCTTTATCAACAACTGTCTTCGTTGTATACTGAAGATTAGATGGCCGGAAAGAATCACAAACAAGAAGCTATGGGAGCAAACAAAACAAGAACCAGTCGCCCAACAAATATACAGGAGATTGATTGGACACTCGCTGAGCAGGCCGCTGGGTGACATCGCGCGTCAGGCCATCGCTCGAGTGGAACCCGAAAGGGAAGCGGCGAGTATTGGGACGTGCAAGGGTGACTGACATGGAGGAGATCGTATGAAGAGGGGTTGAAACAGTATGGATTAACATGGATGCAAGTGAAAAGTACAGCAGAAGACGGAAACTAGTGGAGACGTGCAGTTGAAGCCCTATGTTCCACTAGGAACCCAAGGAACAATAATAATAATATATTATGAAAAATACAATGAAATTAATCTTACCACGTTCTTCGTCAGTGATATTTAGAAACCGAATTTTCTATCAAAATACCTTTCCAAATCACTGACTGATAGCTTGCATTATTGCAGAAGACAAATTCACGTTTTGAATGTTTATTTTCGAAAGAATGGCAGTGGACAAGCGAAACGGAGAACCCTAGTCAGATACACGGAAGGGCATTCATCATCCGGTAGATAAAGAACGCCTTAAAAATCATGCAGAATACGTCGTTCCTACTGGGTTACTTGTCTCATTCTTGCAATCACTTCAACCGCTAACCACTTCTGAGTGGGCATAGCACACTATTTTGTAGAGACCCAGTAGATTAAGTAGAATCGCCTTCAGATGTATCATTTCTTCACTTCATATTTGTGACTGTATAAGTGAAACGCGAGTTATACAGAAACTCCAGTTGAGGATTTTTCGTTTCACTCATCGGAAGCAGGAGAATAAAATCGATGAGTAAAGAAATACTCAGTAGTACATGTAGCAAAGCAAGAATCACATCTGATTCTCTGTTTACATAATGCAAGTAGAAATAATTCAACAGGGTATTCATATTAGTAATATTGTTCAAAAGAATATAGAACACACAATTAAAATTGAAGTAGAAATTTTAAGAACAAAATATAAATAATGGAAAGGACTAGTAGTGCCGTTTACTTACTTCATGTTTCTCATACCATACCATACACCTTTCTCATTACATAAAATGCATGTGTGGAATGATGTATTGTGCAGTTTTTATACTTAGTCGTCCGAGCATGAAGTCTTCTATAGTTGCTTACAGTGCCACCTGATGGCATACAAATGGAGAGTTCTGTATAGCGAGGATACTCAGGGTTCGACAAGATAATATTCGCTAATTTCTTGCATGAGTCCATGTGTCGATCTACAGCTGCACTAACAAGTTGGTTTAGTGACATCCCACTCATCCTACTGACAACTTTCAGTACCCTTCTCAGTATGACGAAGTCTTCCTTAAGTAGCCCAGGAGATATTAAGGGGGATAAACAAGGAATTGTAGGCAGGAAACACAAATCATCAAACTTTGAAGGTAAGGCCTGAGTAGTTTCAGACTGTCTCAACTTCTGTACGTAGAACGTTGAACGAAATATCTTTCTACAAACTAACTTGATTTAGAAAGACCAAGAAAGACTGGAGGAAAGACACAATGCAAGGTGTTTAAAATCCGACTTAGTTTCAACTTCTGTGACATCTATGAAACTAGAATCATAGAAACGAACTAGTTCATGTAAGTCGTGCTTGTGTCTGAAAGTGAAGTGACATCCTCCTAGTGAAGCCGTGTATGACATTCAGCAAACAAATAAAGCGGCATAATTCTCTTATGCAGCTGAGTCGCAAATTATTCCACTAACAGGAATGAAATGTTTCACAATCTATTTATGATATTACATGGAAGGATATCATATGAATAAGTTAGTTAAGATGATACCGTCACATCTGTTTTGATGCATGTCAGGTCTTGATCAATAAGTAGTATAGATATGAATCACTAATCTTCACACGTAATTTATGATCCTGATTATGCGTATCTTGAAAGATAAAATGTGTTTATGTTTTAATTGAAACTGTTGGCGGTTTCATTAGGGATATGTGTAACTGAAGACTTCAAAGGAAACATCGATGACTCACATTTGCCACCAACATTAACGCCGTTTTATTTTATTCGAAATATGCTGACAAATCATCTGCAATTATTCACACAGTCATATGCAAATTGTTTAGTTCAGATTCCCTTACTTCCACCAATTCATCATGACGTTTATTTAAACATTTTTATTGAAGGCTGATACAAAACCCTGCATACACTGCTAACGGTGTATAACACATTCAGCCTAATGATAAGTCTTGAGAATTATTCTGTCAAATGTGAATCACAATGCATTCAGTATTGTTTTTGATGACTAATAATGACTCAGAGATGATTGGACAAGAGTTGTACAGAAAAACGCTTTATATAAACCTTTATTATTTTAATTTCAGCTATTTTCCTCAAGAGGTTTGGAAGTGTCTGGCAAACAAAACATGCGAATCATTCATTTCAACCTGGCTCAGATTCAAACAAATATAAATTTTAAGTAGTGATAAAATGTGCTAGATGAGACGAATTTAACCTGCATTCATCTGAAGCAAGAAAACGTTTTCCGTCAGAATTCTTTGAGAATTTCGGGATTTCTTAGCGTGTCTCCTCAATGAAATGTGAAATAAAATATGAGTGAACTCACCAACAGTCAAAAGTCATCTCATTGCCTCCAAGATGAATGTAATTATCATGAAATCGGCTTGTGACTTCTGTAAACAGATTCTTCAAAAACTCAAATATAGAATCATTGGCTGGATTCATTGGACCAAATCGTCCAGTTGGCTTAGAGTCGTGATAACATTTTGCTAGTAAGTCTGGATATGCTTTTCCCCACGACAATGTATGCGCTACAAGGAAGTTTTGTGACAACCAGTAAAGATCACTTCAATAAATTTTAGAAGTGCCCATTAAAATTTTGAAAAGAATGGTTACTGAACAAAGAATACTCTTTTCGATAACCTCATCATCAGGCTCTACAGTTATGGATGCATAAAAGTAATGAATGAATCGGTGTTATGAACAACAATAATGTTTAAATAAGGGCGAACCGGCCGTTGCTCTAGGAACTTGATTTTTCGTTCTCAAGAACATCTCCCAGTGTGGCTAAGTAAAGGCGTAGTAAAAACCATCAACAGTTCGATATTAGACCGTCTGTTGCAAACTGGCCACAAAGCTGGCACTGAAGTATCATTTTCTATCATCATCTATCGGGTGCCAAATAAATTTCCAAAATCATGGAAGTACCGCATGCTTCAAACAACAATGGCTATTTCCATTCGCGTGAAACAACCAGTGCTTTGTATGCAAAAGAAGCAAGTCTAGTCACTACTTCTGCCCTGGCCGGCCTTTAGTAGAGACTATAAATTCATAAATTTGTAATATTATCTTTCCTAATTTTTCTGACATTCAGTGTGTATTGTTATGTTGATGCTGTCGAACTGTAACCTATTGATATTATCGATTAGTGGTTATTTAAACATTAATGTTGTTCATAACACCAATTCATTCACTACTATTGTGTATATATAAATGTAGAGCCTGATGATGAAGTTATCGAAAAGAGTATTCTTTGTTCAGTAACCATTATTTTGAAAACTTTTAGAGGGACATTATTGCTTAGATAAAAAATGACATGGCTATTCAACAGTGAACACTCCATACTACTCACTATTTGAGATCGATTGTTATTTCGTTTCTTGTGATTCTACACGAACTGCACTCCTTCACTCAACGATAATCCCTGCGTCTCAAAATACAGTGACCAAGCACTTGAAAGTCTCAGTGACACTTCAAATAATGATTTTCAAGCTATTCTTCATCACGTTTTTTGATTTACGTGACGCGGCTGAAATAGAATAAATGGAACCATAAACCCGCAGTGATTTGAAATAAACCATGGTCTTTTCTTCGCAGAGAAGCGATAAAGGCTTTCGTCAAATATGAAACTGTCAGGCAACTCAGCACTAATGCGCTTCATCACCTCACTGAGTTAATATACCTGAGAATATAATATCATGAACAATCTGAATTAAAGTTTCAAACCTAGTGCCTCTGCCAAATTCATGCTCATATGTTGCATTCGTGGCATTATTTCGAGAACACTACCACACTGACTCAAATTTTACATAATATTATTTCATGTGGACAGAGTTGGTGGATAATTACATCATACCAATTGTCTTCAAACTTATTTACCTGGAGTATTAAATTCTGGAATGATCCGGACTCCACGGAGACGAGCGTATTCCAATAAATCAGACACCTCGATTTCATCATATGTACACTTTTGTGGATGATATGCACCCTGTTGATATTGAGACGAGAATCAGAATTAATAAACGCTCAATATAGACTCAACTTACCTTGTGTGACAGTTCTGGATAGGTGGTTGAGACAAAGGGAAACGATTGGTCATCTGTGATATGCCAATGAAATACATTCATTTTAACCATAGCCATGATATCCTGAAAACAGAAAATACTATGCCGAATATCACATCTCCTACTATTATCTCTCGAAGGGTTTCAACTGGCAAGAAATTCCTTCCGGTATCTAAGAGTATTCCACGATGTGAGAATAATGGTTCATCTTTCACAGAACCCTGAAATATCATATTCTAGATGAAATATATTGATGAAGTCAAGTTATCAACAAGAAACAGAGCGCACTCCTCCAAATTCATCCTTGTACACCATCTGAAGTACAGTTTCAAGAGCACGTAGTGCACCCCAAACCTCTTTGCAACTTATCGAGATTTCTGTATCTTCAACGTTCACGTTATCTGCAAAGTGGTGAATGAAATACTTCTTGTGTTGTGACTCACATGATTCGTTCATTATATGACTCGGCCACAGTTTATCTGCATTTTCGTCACATCCATCCATGATTTCAATTTTCATTTTGTTTACGCTACATTCCTCTTTGCTTTCCTGAGGAATTGGCGGATGCTGTGATGCTAGACGGAGTTGAAATCTTGTCAGTGAGTCTGTGAGTATAAAGCATGTTGGGTAGTTGTGTTCGTAAGTGAGTGTGTGCACTAGGTTGCAGGCTGTTGCATCTTTGTTGTAAACTGTTGGTTTTGGGACAATAGCAAGAATGCGCCAACTTGCATTATTGAGGAGCAACACAACGACGAACAACGCAGAATAACAGATCATTGATTACGTTTTGTTTCTCAGCAGTGTATTTCTCACTCGAATCTCAGCAAGTATTATACTAGTTGTGAATTGGATTTTGCACTCATTGGACATCTGATGAGAAAAATGTCATCCAACCAAATCAGCGTATCACCCAATGGTTTGTTTTTGGGTTGTGTTTTACTGGCATTTAGATAATTATAGTGATTTTTGTAAATAATTTTTGGGAAATACAAATGTTACGAAGATTGAACGTGAGTCTGTCAGTGTTTTCATATTAAGTGGAAATTTAACACTTAGGATATTCGTGTTCTGTATATAAGTATCAGACATTTGCCATCCAACTTCCACGGAATCACTTTATTTCAGCGAACTATGGAGTAACTGTAGAAAGTATTTGCTTTCTAGTGAAGGCCAGTCTTGATACATCATTCACTGAACCAGAATAAAAATAGGGCTTAAACTGTTCGAGTTAAATTACGACTGGACAAATCTCTGCCCACTCTTTGATGCTTAAGGTTTTTGCAGTTTTATTTTGGTCGGCTTTCTCGATCAAGCTTGGACGCTGTTTTACACATTCCCTCAATCTGGTAACATATACGACGCCAGACTTCATAGTTCAGCCACAATAGTCAGACAATCGTCTGAAATCTTCTCTCGAGTTTATTGTGACGTTCAGTCTTCTAAACATGTCGTTCTGCAGAACATCTTGTTTGAAAAGACAAACCTTTTTGATTCAACTGTTGTTACCAGCTGTTGCAGGTTTGGTACAGTGCAGATTAAGTTGTGACATTAGTACATTCTATCTAGTGAGGTTTGTATATTTTGAAATGCCAACCACACAACCTATCATATACAACTGGTGAATACGTGCCATATCTGCAGTTCGGTTTACCCATATCTTCATTAATTTACTGGTTGAAGTTTGCTGTCCTTTCGCACGCAGATTGTTCCCATATTCTCAAAAGTGTTAGTGCTTGGCTAATTTTATAATTGTGATATTTTAATGTATTTTTTCATCATGGCTTAGCACACTTAATGCTGAAATCAACTTTCTTGTGCAGGTTGTAGTTACCACAACACCTTATGGACACACCGAACATTCTCAAGGTTCACTCACGTGGAAATGTGTTTCACCCTTTGTCTTAGGTGTCACTTAGTTATTGTGCGACTACCTGAAAATATTATCGAGGATATGTGTGAGATCGTCGCCGATCCCTCTTCAAAACTTCAGGATCGTTTCAAAGCTGCTCTGATAACAAGAGTTGTGCCTACAGGTTAGCGGTATATGGAGGAATTCTCCCCAGACGTACATTTTAGTGATTTCAGTCATTAGATGTAACAGCTAGTTGCTGATATAAAAATTGACGATACATTCAGAGAGCATGGAAATCCTGTCAATCTTTGGAAATTCACTTTGACAAAGTTAAGAGAGGAAGATGATAGAACTATACAGGCTATTGGACCTAAAAAATGCATTTTGACCACATTATTTAGTAGTTCTTGCTGTGACAAGGATCTCTGTCCTCTCTAAACCGATGAGTTGTCCAGTCTCGACTCGGCGGCCCATGTAAATAATATTTATCAGATGTGTGGTATTATGAAAGAGATGACAGTAAGAAATTTGTCACAAGAGTCTATATTTATCTGTCGTGGCATATACTTCGGACGTATTGGGAATATGCGATCGTATTTGAGAAACTCATAATACAGTGGTGCGCTTATATCAAAGACATTGTGATGCCACTAACGAAAAATAGGAGTACTTTGTAACGGCATATGGCAGTGGCTACTTTATTCCAAACAGTGCATTAAGTGCAATGTGAAACATTCAGTATGTTGAAAGGTCAACTACACTTAGGATTCTCATCGAGTCACCTATTCATCAAGTGCTAACCGGGCCCTACGTTGCTTACGGTAAATAGGAGAAGACAAAGAAAACTGAAGTACTCAAGTTTTGAAGTCATGTGATTACAATGGATATGATTATGAAAAATAAATTGTGTTCAAAACCTTGTCATCCAGAAGGTTTTAGACATTCATAGCGATCATATCACGTTGAAAACACTGGTTCTCGTCCGATCACCGAAGGTAAGCAACTCAAGGCCCCGGTTAATACTTGATGAATAGGTGACTCGATGAGAATGCCAGGTGTAGCTGACCTTTCAACATACTTAAAATTTCACACTGTTTAGAATATAGTAGCCACTGCCGTATGCTGTTGCAAAGCACTCCTATTTTTCGTTAGTGACATCACGATGTCTTTGATTTAAGCGCACTATTGTATTATGAGTTTCTTAAATGCGACGCATATTCAGAATAATTCGGAAGTATGTGCTACGACAGATAAATACGGAGTCATGCGACAAATTTCTTACTGTCATCTCTTTCATAATACTACGCATTTGATAAGTATTATTTACATTAGCCACCCAGTCAAAACTGGATGACTCATCAGTTAGGAGAGGAGAAAGATCCTTCTGACAGCAATAACTACTAAATAATGTGGTCAAAATGCTCGTTTTAGCCTTAACAGCCTCTGTAGTTCCGTCCTCTTCCTCTCTCAACTTTGTCAAAGTGAATTTCGAAAGATTGACAGGATTCCCATGCATTCTGAATGCATCATCAATTCTAATGAACTATTTGAGTAAGACTAAAATCACTCAAACGCACGTCTTGAAACATTACCTGCACCTACTACTGATGTGTAGGTACAACTCTTTTTATCAGATCAGCTTTGAAGGGTTTTGAAGAGGGATCGGACATGATCTCACACCTTTTCTCGAATATTTTTTCAAGAAGCCTCACAACATCATAGTTAGACTTAATTTCATGTGAGTGGATAAGACAACGTGTGAAACACATTTACGCATGAGTGAACCCTGAGAATGGTCGGTGTGTCCAGAAGGCACAACAAAGCTCAATGTGGTAAGTCATGATGAAAAAATACATTAAAATATCACAATTATAAAATTACTCAAGCACTAACGCAAATGAGAATATGGGAACAATCTGCCGTCCACAAGCAAAGCAAGCTTCAAGGAATAAATTACTGAAAATTTGTGTAAACCGAACTGCAGATATGGCACGTATTCACCAGTTGTATATGACAGGTTGTGTGGTTGACATTTCACACTATACAAACCTCAATAGATAGAATGTACTGATGTCACAACTTAATCTGTACTTCACCAAACCTGCAGCTGCTGGTAACAACAGTTGAATCAAAATAGTTTTGCTTTTTAAACAAGATGTTCTGCAGAATGACTTGTTTAGAAGATTGAACGTCACAATAACGTCGAGGGAAGCTTTCAGGAACTTGTTTGACCATTGTGGCTAAACTATGAAGTCTGGCGTCGAAGAGAAGTGTAAAATAGCGTCCAAACCTGGTCGGAAAAACACACCAAAGAAAAATATAAAAAGCTGGAAGCATTCACGAGTTTGGCAGAAGTGTATCCAGTCATAGTTTAACTCATGAGGTTTTAGCCCTACTTTTATTCTGGTCCAGTCAAAGATGCATCGAGACTGGCCTTTACTAGAAAGCAGATAATTTCTGCAGTTACTCTGTAATTCGCTGAAATAAAGTGGTTCCGTGGAAGTTGGATGGTGATTGTCTGATTCGTATATACACAGAACACAGAAGTTTAAAATTTCTACTTTATATGAGAATACTGACTGACTCACGTTCATTTTTCCTAACATTTGTGTTTCCCAAAAATGCTTTACAAAAATCATCATAATCATCTAAATTCCAGTAAAACACAATCCAAAAGCACACAATTAGGTGATACGCTGATTTGGTTGGATGATATTTTTCTCATCACATGTCCAATGATTTCAAAATCCAATTCACAATTAGAATAAAGCTTGATGAGATTTGAGTGAGAAATACACTGCTGAGAAACAAAACGTAATCATGATCTCCTATTCTGCGTTGTTCGTGGTTGTGTTACTCCTCAATAATGCAAGTCGGCGCACTGTGGCTATAGTCCCAAAACCAACAGTTTACAACAAAGATTCAATAGCCTGCAACCTGGTGCAAACACTCACCTACGAACACAACCACCCAACATGCTTTATACTCACAGACTCACTGACAAGATTTCAACTTCGTCTAGCATCACAGCACCCGCCAATGCCTCAGGTAAGCAAAGAGGAATGTATCATA